CGTGCTGATGTGTAAAAGCCGGCTTCGCTTTCCGTGCGTGACCAAAGCGTCTCGGCCACCAGTTGTTAAAGCCGGCTGTTGTGCACGTCGCTCAGCACTGCGATTATTCCAGCCTAGACCGGAGCTGTGCTCGGTGGCGTAGTGACCCAGAGCTGACCTCTTTTTGTGCAGCCCTCCGCAGGACCGGAAGAAGAGCTGGCCAGGCTGGTCAGGTCATTAGGAGTGTTCTTCGCTTCAGGTAGCAGCTTGCTGGTGTTGTCCTAGCTGAAAATTTGCACCTCTCCCAGTCCTACAAACCCGTTGCAAGTTTTGCTTGTGGTTGGGAGGGAATGGTTGCCAAAATGGGGCCTCAATCTCCACCAATGTCAGTGCGGCGCTGAAGGTGCTCATTACTACGGCAATGCGTATGCAAAAGGTATGCCTCACTGAGTTAAGCAATAGCGGCACAAGTCAGTGTCAGCTCATAGCGCGTATCGACCGCATAGTTCCTAGACGATCTGTTCGACAAGACGCGGTATCTACCGTACGCCAGACGCAAAAGGGTAGTTTCATACCCAGCAGTTCGGTGATTGGATGCCAAGTCGTTCACGGCAGTATGAACAACCAATCACACGCAACCATGTTATTAACGTCACGAGGTGAGCACAACGGCGCGGTAGGACACGCTGGACGCGAACATCGGCGACTTCCCACAGCCACGGTTCGGCTGGCAGCTGCGGGGGCTTGATGTGCGTGTGCGCACGTACGTCATCCTCGCTCCATGAACGCCCCCCCCCCTCCCCCCCCCCGCCCCTCCAACCCGTACATCCCGGCGCCCTTCGTCAAAGTTGGTGCGCTGCTGCGTGTTCTGCATCAAGAGGCGTCAACGCTGTTCTTGGCTAAGCAGCCAACTCTGTAGGGAAAACCGAACGCGCATGCGCCTTCCAACGCTGGAGGCCATCCGAACGCTGTAGGGCCAACTGAACGAAACATATCATGACGCATATCATGTATCGTGTTGCTGTGCCGCGTGCGCTGTTACTGTGCTCCTCAATGTTCATCGGGCTGCTGTAGGGACAGCGACGTGCTGCTGCTGAGGCAGCGGTCGCTGGCGGGCTTCTCCGCGTCGCCGGCGTCGCCAGCCTTTCGAACATATCACCGGGAACGCAGGCCGTGCCGGGTCATTGCCCCGGCTGCCACGCCGTTCCAGCGAGCCGTCGGGCTGTTGTTGCGGCAGTGCCGCCGCCGCCGTGACCGCGGCGGCTGGTGGGGAGGTGAGGTGCGTACCGACGGGACTTTCCAACGGGAGCGGCGCGTCCCGGAAGACGGCGGGGGTTGTGATGACGTCTAGGGCCGGCTCTGCAGGCGTGCGTAGGCGACGTATTGTGGCGGTCGTTAGCAGTTTTGTCAGGAGCTGGGTGTTAAAACAGTGCTATCATGTTGGTGTTGGCTATTCGCTGGTTATTGTGATTTGGTGTTACACGTGTTTTCAAAGGGTTTATCGTAGAGAAACTTAGTCCGTTCTCAATCCGTTGAACGAGACAAGGAAGCATATTATCTCCACATATTCTATTATTCCCACGCGCTTAAAAGACAACATGCCGGATTACATTGTAATTGTAAGTACTTCAAATTTGAGATTTTCCTTTCGATCATATATGAATCGTTAAACGGATAAGATGTAACAGTCTCAGAATATCACGAAAGCGTAAAGGCGCCAAAACTTGATGAGCTGTCATCTCGCAAGAGCGATATCAAATCTATGGCTGTCCGCAAGCCACCTTGAATCTTTTCAGATACCAGACACCCAAGCTAACAAAACACGATGAACCATTATTTCACCGTCACAGATAAACATCGCAAGACAAAATTTATATTTCACGTGGCTGTTCAAAAGTTTGTCGAGCCTATCGGACTCAAAGCGTGCAATCAAACTCCTAACACGGCAAACTACCGACAAGGAACCAAAAAATACAATCACACCAACTCACCACATATCAAGCACGATAATGGCAATCATCGACTCCAAGTGAAGAGCAGGAAGTGTAGCAGCCTGCCTGCCACGTGGCGAGCAGGCTGAGCCAAGCGGGCACTGCAGTCAGAGACCCTTGTCACAAGAACCACGCCGTGTAGAAACATCGCTGATTGTGTAGTCCAATGTAGAGCCTAGCATTTAGTACGTGTCCGCCTTTTAGCGTTGGGTAACGCGCATGTGTTTGCGCAGGCCCAGCTGTTGTCGTTGAGCGAAATAAAATGTTTTGTAGAAGATTGCTGACGCGTTGCTGTCGCAGGCAGGATTTGAAGTCAGCAAGGGCTGACGGCCAAGCAGTTACGGTAAAGGGAAATAATTTTATGTTGAGAAATCGCAAGTGTATTGCAATTGGGTTGGCTGATTTTGTTGCTTCTGGTTAGTTGCTAAATAATAATTATTGGATGTCCAATATTGCGATAACCGTTGATAATCACTGAATGGCTGATCATTAGTTTTTTAACAATCTCAATCGTTCAGTCATTTGCTTGGTCTTGAGCAAGCCCATTGCTCAATAATTCGTTTCGTCTTGAGCAAGCCCAACTATTCAATAGTTTGGCGGATGAGGGAAATGCAAGCCAGCGGAGGAGTGCTCGCCGCGTAACCGAGAGTTCATCGGTTCGAGATGGCACGCCGGCCGTGTTTCTGTTTGCCCATGCGCGTGCTGCTTGATGCTGAGACGTAAATAAAGACGCCACATTCGCCACGCAGTCATCAAAAAATCCCCACATGGCCGGCTTGATACGAAGCCACAGGGGTGACTATCGCTTATCCAGTGCTCCGCGTTCATCTGTGGCATTTTCTTGGCAAAAACGCTCTAACCAGAAAAAAAAGTGACAGAAGGAAAGAAAAGCGCAAGACGCACATCGAAGAAGAAAGTCCTCCATGTAAACACCCGAACTGAGCCTCGTTAAGAATCAGCGGCAAGTGATAATAATTGTCCACTACCCTTCATGCAACAGCTCTGTTGTGCGGATACAGATATAACATGCAGGTACAGCAGCTCCGCTGCGCAGATACGGACACGGAAGGTGGATACATAAGCTCTGCTGTGATATCGTGCAGACGGCTTCCATTGCGGGTCATGCTTTCTTCGTGATCTGTTCCCTTCACGACACGCCTGTCTTTTTTTATTCAACAGTCTTTTCCTTGCAATCGTAAATATATTCGACTCACGCAACACTAAGTCTGCTCTATACCACGTTCCATGAAAGACAACAGCCTTTTATAAATTACGACACTTCAGCTACGACCACATAATTCGCATGCGCTGCAAGAAAGACTTCGCGGGGCTTTGCCGACTCAAGATGCTTTAAGTTAAAACGCAGCTCGCGAAATCTGTACACCCTGTCTGGATCCACAAGACAGACTCCACCAGTTTTATGAAGCTGCATGAACCCAACAGCAATTCAACCACATCACATAAATACAGATTAAGTCCACCTTAAGCCGTCCCAAAATTGTTAGAAAAAACAAATGTGTTGAAACCAGAACAGACGTGTTTGCTGCAATCCTCATATCAGAGGACTGCGTGAAAAATGTTGGTCGAAATTCTCGAACAATACGTCGTAAACAGCAAGTAAACAACAGGCGTTTGAGAACAAAATCTCCTGCTTCTCTTTCTCGTCTATCGTCGCTGACATGACGGAGACACTGTAGACGTCGCTTCTCGCCAGGCAAAGGAGATATTGACAAACTTTTACATGCTGTAATGCTGTTTTTTCTTTGCTTGGGCTGTTCCAAAACAGCATTCCACGAGCATATCGTTCTGCAATAGAAAAACCTCCCTTACGTAACCTTTACACTGTCGTGGCAGATCACGACGTCTTCTCACTGGGCGGCGGTTGATGGAAGACGCTATCCGCCGGTGCTGCCACCTTTCAGCGGCGTTTCCTCGTGCTGCCATCTGTTGATGATCTTGCTCACCAGCCTGGCTTGAGACCCGTCTCGAGCGCGCTCTGGATGGTGTTTGGGACGTTCCAGGGCATGATG